AAGATTAAATCTTATCTCTTTTTTTTTTAATTTTGTTCTCAATAATGCTGTTTTGAATTGATCTAAAAAATTAAAACTGAATCGAAATTGAAGCATAAGGTCGCAAAATATAAACTTTGATAGAAACTAAAAAATATATTGAAAATAAGGTTGATATAAAACGTACATTTAAACGAAAATATCACGCAAGAGAAAAAAAAGTAGATCCTTTTCTTTTATCATCCCTTAATATTTAAAGGATGGAAACCTGACATTTCAGTGAGTAAAATACTTTAGATATTTTATTGGATTGAAAGAGCATTATGAAACTTACACTAAAAAATGAAAATATTCAAAGGAACATTTGAAACCCCAGCAAAGTGAAAAAAATAAAAAATAATTTTCACCTGAATTAACTTATACTTGTACGATTCTTATTAAATAAACGTACGATGAGATAACTATAGGTCTTTTCGACCGCTTCAAGGAAACACTGAATTAATGTGTCCAAGGTATAAGTACATTAACATATCGCGTCCTTGTCCCTGCTATTAGCAATGTTAAGGCCAAAAAATTCCACAGTAATGTTACAGCTATAGAAACAATCTTGAGGCCAGCACTATTTAACATATGTTACAGGCAGATTCTCATAGTATCAAAGGTATTGGTTGCGCCAAAGCCTTTGGCATGAATGCATGCTTGTATACAAATTTTCGTGATCAGGTGGGAAGGCTTCTGATGCCTTGCGATCATCGCTAAAGAGAGGCGAACATTCTGTATATACCATTGCGAAATATTGAGATTGTCCACTGTTTTCTTTTACCAATAGTTTGCAAACCATCGCAAAGCCCAATGGGACTGAAGCTTTGGAGACAAGGCAACATTTTAAGAAGAATTTTATGACTTAAGTCATAAAGGACTGTCAATGTTCAGTTTTTGAAATGATACTGTAAGACATTAAAGCAATATTGATTGGCGTGAGTGAATTTTACTTGTAAAAACAAACTTCAATCTTCTTGAAGATTATTAGAAAATTATTCAATACCCGAGTCTCCACCTTTTGATTGACTGTTAAGAGATCAGAAAATTGGTTTGATGGCTCCACGAAACATCATGTCAAAATCAATTATGAGAAAACATAGGGAAATGCCATTTATCTTTGAATTATTTGCGCAAATCAGTAGGGACTATAATAACCCACAATTCTAAATGGAACTTTGACAATCTGAATTCAATTTGAAATGATATAAATGGATCAGATATCAGAAGAACTATCATTAAGATGTTGAAAAGTGAATTTGTTTGAGTAAAAATCGTCCGTAACATACTTGGTTTCCCGTCAAATCTAAAAACTTAGACAATGTACCTCCTCTTTAATCAGAATGACTGTTAAGATGCACCAATTTGTGGCTTTAAGTTTAAGTTTAAGATCTTAACAACCTTTCAGAAAATGAAATTAAGCTGAGAACTGTCCAAAAAGATATGACCCAAGGTTCATCAAGTCAATTGATCAAAACTTTACCAGTGGTTTCTGCATGGGGACCAAGAGACTCGCCAAGAACAATTTTATCTTGGTCACCATAAATATAATCAACAGTAGTTACGTCTGTGATTAGGTTAGGTAAATGAAGTTTGGTATTTTTCAGGATATCATATAGTGGAACATAATTTTTGTTTATTGTACAATGTCCCCCCTACGAAAATTAGAACCGGTATTGGTACGTTCCACTAAACGAATTTAGGTAACAGTCTAAATCAGTATTATCTAAATTAAAGGGATTGTAAAGTGGTTTTCCATTTTTTGTGAGTAAACATTGACGTTTGATTGAAAATTAGACTGGTACAAATTGATGCTATCAGTGTCCCCGATACCCATATAAAATTTAGAAAACGTCTTTACAATTCCTTAAGATGTCAAAAATCACGTTTCTGCATAATTGAGAGTATTTTTTTTTTTTTTACTAAACTTTTTTTGGAAAAGATGTTGCGTAAAAGTCCTTTGATTGAAAAGAAACCACGATAAAACTGTATTAGTACTGTTGATAAAAAGGGAAACTGATTGACAGTCATTAAGTAGAGTTTGATAAAAGCCTCAAGAAGATGAATAAAACCAATTTTTCTTGGATTGTCAGATTCTGGTGATTTAAAATAAGATTTATGTGATATAATCTCAAACTAAGTTAATTCAGCGTAGGAGAAAGGCTTAAATTGCTATTTAGATAGATACATCTGAAGCTGACAAAAAGCTGAATAGATTAGGACATTTCATATAAAAAAGGTGCTTTTTTACCGGAATATGTTGAATTCTTAAGGGATTGTGTTAAGTAGGACAGATTAATACAGAACAAACATTAAGTGCAAATAGATCAGTACTGTGTCCAGTGTGCTTGAATATCTTTACAGAAGGAAATAGAAAAAGCGAATGCGAGACCTACTGGTCCACAAAAGATGTGGACACGATTGGCCTCTTCTATTTTCTATTGCACCCTGCGCCACACATCTTGAACTTAGTGTGTCAATTTCAAAATGTTGTAAAAAATGTTACTAAAATTATGCGCCATTATGCCACTTGGTAATTGGTTTTGTAAACTTGGCAATGGGTAAGTCAGTTATGTCGTATTTGTCTCAGTATAAGAGTATACTTGATGGTCACAATCCTTGATTTGGTTTCCAAAACACACTGAAAGAAAACATAATGGGCGTCCAAATCGATCATTGTCTCCACTACACGTTAAAAGTTTTTAAAAAACCTGTTAACATTCCCTTTAACGCTCATGATATTGTCGTTTATATTCTATTTTGATTTGAGAGCATTACTTCAGGTTTTTGTCTCCACTTTTTTTTAAGAGAAATCAAAGTTTTGCTTTATTGTGTTTTCACTCAAAAAAAAAATCCAAAAAAAAAATCACCTTTTTTCATAATTAGTATAAATCTCCGTCACCAAATGGTTGTTGGTTGGTAGATGACAAGTTAACTTCTTCCATCAGATGCTGATATCGCAGACTCGTTAGTTAGTAATATTGTTGGTGTAATAGAATGACTCTGCTCTGTCGGTTTGGTTGTCGAGAACATCACCAATTTATATTATTTATAAGACATATAGAAGTAGGAAGATTACAATAAAACATTAAGATATATGGATATATACTACTTCTGCATTTATTACATACTATGTTACCTGTATGTGTTCCGAAACGTAGTATGTAATAAATGCAGAAGTAGTATATCCATATATCTTAGTGTTTTATCACCAATTTATGCTCTTTCAATAGCTTATCTTATAATCTCCTCATCATAGCCCTTCAACCAAGACACAATACATAAGGTCATACGGCCTCAAGATCTCATTTTTATTATGAACACTAGACATATAGATATGCATTTCGTTCATAGTTTGGTATAACCACTCACCAAGCATAATATTATTGCAATCGCTTGGTTTATTTTGGAATATTGGAAATAAGATACAACGCGAGCCAGCTGATGACGTAGGAATGATAAATGTATTACCGAAACGAAGATTTTATCTAGGTCTATCGCTGATCTAATTTCCTTTCAATTTGATCGGAGAATAAAAAGTAAGCGAATCCCGGTCGGTTTAACAACTACTGATAGTCCAATTCTATTTATTTTCTAAGGTTTCAGTGGAGCATAAAGAACTTGACGTTAATGATACTAGAGCACCATTTGAGACAAATATTTGTACGAAATCCTTCCTCTTCAAGTAAAAGCTCGGCTATTGAACGTAGGCGACCTGATATTATCCAGATTTTTGTATAGACCACTTATCAGACTATTGAACTTATCAGGCAGTCACAGTTCCCCGTTAACTATTTTCCGGTCGAAAATTGACATTGTCCGCGACCATATAGGAAAAAGCAACAAGGCAGCACGGAAAATAAATAAGTTATTAGGTAAGATACTTTGCTCCGCTTCCAAATGACGTGTCCTGTTTGTTCGTCAACGTAGGAGGAAGTTTATTCGGATCGGTCACCTTTTTCATACGTTCTGTTATTGAATTAATAACTTAGTGCGTAACAAACTCAAGATTGTAAGATATGAATTAAAAGTCACAAGTAATATAATATATACTACTTTATGGCATACATCAACATGGCTTTAAGTCCCTTTATCAATAACAAACTCCACTAATGTCGATTGACCGGCAGAGAGATGTAAATCTCAATGCAAGACTTCGAGCATTCGAACACATAGAAAAGCCTTCCATGGCAAAATCATCAAAGAAAATCCCTGCAAATCAACATTTTAGAATTATTTTAAGAATCCGGTTAATATGTTGATAAACCCTGTTTGAAATCGATCAGATGACTGGACCCCTTTCAAGTAAACTAATATACGCCAACTGTCTGTGTTTTTAAAAAGCTAAGGTTGTAAAAGTATAAAGATAAAAAAGCAACTGATAACGCAGAAACAAGCTGTAATCGGATTAAAGCCATAACCATAGCGGTTATCAAGTACCGCCATCTATGACAAATAGGTTCCACGTTGTATTGATACACACAGATTATTATGTGCCTGAAGGCTAGATACCACACAGTAGCCATTCAAACTGGGCATATAATAGAATTAAAGCTGAAATAAGGATGCATGAAACAGACATAAAGTATGACCGAAGGATTTTATATATCTAATATAGCATGGAATGCTTTGATCAGGAACTGATGTTAATTGTTTAATCAGACGACCGGATGTCCGTAAAAAATATTTCCACCATCAATGTTATTAGAATTAAAGATTGTACGTGGTTCAAAACGCAGTAGTTGATTTTTCTTTCATCTGCATTTGGGGCTGGGGAGGAGGGGACCGGGTCTTGGCTTCATACTTATGTAAATTACACAATCTTTCTAGAAATCGTGGGGTTTATTACGATGCATGTGTGTCAATTTATTTGTATAAACCTAAACATCTGTCCATCTTGAATAGCCCCTGAGTCCGAAACGGATTCCTTCATGTAATCTACAAGTAATAAGTCTGTCATGTGTTTCATTTTGTAATTTCAGTCAAAAAAAATCCGACAGTTCGAACGACGAGTTATAACGATATACAGAGAGGTCCTGTTCGGAGTAATTTATTACGAAAAGCTAAACGGAAATCATTACGGATGTCCATAGTGATCGTGGTGGTGTTCGTTATGTGCTGGACACCTTATTACGTTATCTTCATCTGTTTAACATTCTTAGATTGGGAAGAGATCAATCCAAGAATCTACCGACTGGTGCTATGGCTGTTTTTCCTGGGAATGAGTAACGCTGTTATGAATCCACTGATATACGGTGCTTTCCAGATCTGCAAGGTGCATACTCCAAGGTCAGTCCATCTTAGAGCATTTCGAAGTCACAAAATCCTTCTTCTTTTCTATTCAAAGTTTTATGATGGCTTTATGTTTGGCTAGGATTTTCTGTTTTAAACATTGTGCTTTTTAGATAGAGAAAGAACCTCAAATGTCCAGTATAGAAGTCGTAAAAAGGTGCCAAAGAATCCAGTAAATGATAAAGCAAAATATCTAAACTTTAACAATAGGATTTAGAAATTTTACCATTAATTGAATAGGTTGAAAAGTTATACTCTCTTTTCCAATTTCCAAATCTGAACATTGGTTTCTCACTCGTCATGGCTGAATCATGTCGAAAAGGTAACTTTACCTCTAGCTAGTCTGTTCCATATCTTAAATTTACCTTTTCTGAATCCTTTTTTCAAATCCTTTTTTCTAAATCCTTTTGAAATTTGATTGTTTGTTTTTTAGGGGTTCTTTCTTGGTTTTTAGCACCTTTGGGGTTCTTTTCTCTTTCTAGCACCGAAACCAAAGGAAAATTCTCTCTTTTCTTTATAATCCAAGCTTTGAATGCATAATGCATACGTATTTGTTATACCTTTTTACACTACATAACCATGCTCAACCTTTTTATACACGTATACTAACAACAACACAAAACCTAGGCTACACGTTACAGACTGAGATCACACCCAGACTACACGCTACAGACCGAGATTACTTTGAGGCTACAAGATACAGACTGAGATCACACTCCGGCTACACGCTACAGACTGAGATCACTTTGAGGCTACACGCTACAGACTGCGATCACATTGAAGCTACACGCTACAGACTGAGATCACATTGAAGCTACACGCTACAGACTGAGATCACTTTGAGGCTACAAGCTACAGACTGAGATCACTTTGAGGCTACACGATACAGACTGAGATCACTTTGAGGCTACACGATACAGACTGAGATCACTTTGAGGCTACACGCTACAGACTGAGATCACATTGAAGCTACACGCTACAGACTGAGATCACTTTGAGGCTACATACTAATCGTATAATGCACAGAGTTTTAGTTTCGACTGGCTCAATATTGGACCCGGAAAATCGTATATATATAGCAAACATAAAGTATGAGATCGATTAAGGCATTATGCGAAAGCATGGCATGCAAAGCATTTTACAGTGTGTTGAGCGTATAGATTTGATATAAGAAAAGTGAATTAGGTAAAGATGCTCCGCATGATTTATGGCATGGTGTGCTAAACCCTGGACCTTGATAACATCTACTATTGGAATGATTTGTTTCTTGGCAAAGAAATTACCACATACCCGAGGACACTTCTATACACAGGCAGTCTATTTTGTTTCATCTTCCAAACTATCACCAAGCAAGTGGACAGTACCACCCATCGTATCCTGAACACGACGGATGTTTTTCATTTGTGAACGATCTGGATTTGCATAAGTATTGTAGTCTAACTATTATAATGAGTGTATAAGGAATACGTTTGTTCGTAAACATAGCAGTGATTTTAGAATCAAATCAAGATGGAGTCCTTGGAGCATTGTTTCCGTTTCTCAAGTTTCTCCTTTGGACATGTATACATTTCCTACTAGGACTTGTATGTTCTATTGCTGAATTGATACCAGCGATCACGAACATTAGTATTGATCTCAGTAAAGGGTATTTATGTGTACCCAGGGACGTTACCCATTATTAAGTTAAGTATATTTATCGATAGGATAAGCGCATCACAACGCAAAGCTTCTTCAACGCTTCTGGTCCTATTACATATCCCTACCGTGTTTGGTTAATTGTTGCAATTTAACCTCGTTTAATGTCAAGAGCTAAACGAAAATATCCAGGTTAATGTTAACCAGCCAGACAACAAGCTACTACATAATGATATCTATTGTCTCTTTAGTGCATACATAAACACGCGCGTGCGCGTATGGTGGGACACTTTTACTTGGTAGTAGCTTGAGAGTTAACATTTGCTGAAACTGCTTCTGGCGAGGATATTCTTAACTTAAGTCAAGTTGGGATGCCGTTAGCATCACGTCATGCTTACCCGTTCACCCCAATCAATCTCCGAAGTGCTTTGTCAATTAGGTATTCCCGTCGGGAGAACCAAAATTGCAAATATAACATGTTGGGTCTACAATAATTAAGGATACCTACAGCAAATTTATTATGAGCACCGAAGTCAAAGGGGTGTCGCGTGTAACAATTCCATAAGGAACAATTGAATTGCAGCTTCCAGGTAAACAGACAATTTCCAGACCCCCTTGGGAAATGCTATGATGTAATTTTAATGGTCCTAGGGTTGATGACTCTTCTTGAGGTATGTTTTATAAAGATCCAGATCACGTGAACCGAGCACGATACAGCATGAACTGGAAGTTGATCATCTGTAATAGAAGGCTATTGCTACCGTTCCCTTGAAATAACCTTCTTTGTCTTTCCCTGTCTTCCTAAGCCCAATCTGAAGCAAAAAAGTAGGACTCTTTCCTTCTGATCTTTGTCGGTTCATGTCAGACACAATAGCAAATATTTTGGTTTTGCCCGCCTTAAATCGCCCAAGATTAAATTCAATTTTTAAAAATATGCCAATGCCATTGATGACAATCTACAGGATGTATTTGTAGGTTTATAGAGCACTTGTGCCTGGACATCAAAAGGTGAATTGTGTCAATTAACGATGTTCAGATAAGTTTATATCATTTTCTAATGGCACAATAATGGAGCAAAACGTTCAGTATCCCAATAGTAATTGGAAGAGAAAAAGGGCAGCGAAACAGTAAAAGATAATTGTTGTTGACACGAAGGATCGGGTATTTTTGTTTTATCTAATTTTTGTGTTTCCTGCTCTTTGAACAATGTGTCGCAATTGTCTAGATCTAAAGCAACATTAATTATATACACTTTACGAGTACAGACGGTAACAATCGTGTTTTCATTATCGCTAGCATGCAAAGTATGTACATAATATACATCTCGGCCCACTAACATAATAAATAATTCGGTAGTGAGATGTTATCCTCCAGTTTTTGACGAGGTTCCAGAGATATGAATCTCTGTGAGTAAAGTGGATTGGCAAGTTGTCTCTACTGACACATACATTAAAAGATGGATGTTATCAGTCAGATTAAAGTAAATCTTATATATGTTATGTTATTTTCTTTGACATTATTTCTGACTTCACCCTTTTAAAAGTTTGTTAAGTTGGTGAAAGTGATGACAGTTTGAGACCACCTGTAGAGGTATACAGCCAATTAAAATTAACTGCAAAGCGAAACCCGAAATCCTAATAACACTTTGGCAATGCATTGTTTTACAGCAACTGAACTATTCACTTGAGGAAGTATATCAATCATAAATTTGGAGATATTTCATATTGGAACGTGGTATCAGTTGTCTAGAAGAGTAAGCATACCCTTTCTAGCGTTAATTTTGCCATTGATAACACTGACAAATCTGCAATAGTGAAAAGTTACTTGTGTTAGCATTAAATTTTAATAGTATTTTAATATCTTAAAACCACACAGTAGATAAGTAGATAACATTGTCCAGGTAGATTCTTATACATTATATTTCCCTTTTAACGCTTCAGTGTGGTTTTAGCACCTCCATCAGGAATGTATAGGTACTTCTAGAATGTATGGGCTGTCATATAGTTTCAATAAGGTTCTCGCACCGTCATCAACGTTGTAAGGAACATATATTTGTGAAACTGTTAATGAATATCCAGACGTATATACCGAAGATTTTAATATTTGCCGAGAGCCACGCTACAAAATTACCATCCTTCAGTATTAATCCAGATCAGGCTCAGAAATGTAAGACGTAAAACTTCATCATATTATTATCTAAAGACTGTTTTCGAGAAGAAGAACTTTGCTTTAATTTCACAATTTGCTAAACCCCTAAATGAATATCAAGACTAAGGTTACTTATATTCAAATATGTTTAAAGAGATAAAATGGAGTAAGCTATAAATATTTCAACTTGTAACGCTATCATCTTTGAATATATTGTCTGAAACTTTAAATAAATTTTGTTTCCTCTCAATTTGAGAAATCTGTTAAATGTATGTCGACAATCTTGCAATTTCAGCAAGATTAATTATATGCCTTCACCAGGTACAAACTGACATTTACCAGAAATTCTTCCATTTAACTGCAGGATACATTCTGTTTGCAGTTTATTGAAAAGGTTTATGTGTGAAAACTAAAATCCCCACATGTCATACTGGCAAAATCGGGTAAATATAGATGACAGCTATGTTGGACAATCCCAAAAATTACTGAATATCAGAGGCAGTTATCTCTCTCCTCGGTGAACCGTCACATTGAACCATTTCATCTGTTTTTTGTGCCGGCCAGTGACGTTTCCCCTACACTTTCAAATTTCATATCAATATACAATATATAATATATTCAAGAATTGCCCGTTGACACCCCCACCCCATCATCATGTAAGTAAAAGGTTGCATGCACTGGATTAAACAACGACTGATATACAGAATTGTAAGAGTTGTAGGTTCTTAAAAGTGTACACCTTCATATCTTTATGTCGTTCAGAAAAAAGCCATTGAATTATGCCTTTTTTACAAATGTAATAGACAGGCTATTTAATACGGATGTTAAGATACAGCCCACAAGAAGCTTAGTCAGTGGCTAAAAAAACATCATTGATAATTGATTAACGACACGAATTATTTCTATTTTGGTGTAATACCGAATACGTTTAATTTACGAAATGGCAGACTTACAATAATCATAACACGGAACGAACAAAAATGACAATCATGACAATCATAAAAAATGATTTCAGAATTTAACACAATCTATTGGTCTTTCGAAACAACATGTCGGATGGCATTTTCAAATCGTGAGAGCATTAAGTAGACAAGTTTGAAAGTGGGTGGATGTTTCGTGTGGAAATTTTTTCAAGTCCTCGAGTCTGCTATTTAGTTTTACAAGATAACAAAGTATATACACAGATAAGAATTGGCAGCTCAGTCAAATCCCTAGAGACCGCATTAAATTTTGTTGCATTTAATGATACTCATCATTGCTTAACCGCTGAGTCCATAGGTTTTTCCATGAATGAATGAT